TCCATAACATATCGTTTGCATTCTCTATCCCTTTTACTTAACGCATTTACTTCGCGCAAATTTACATTGTTCCATTTACGTGTTTACTTGTGTTTAGACTATTCTCTATCATTAGTATGCTCACTTATTAAAATCTTGAGTGATTAACGAAAATGTTTTAATAATCAATTCACCCCCTCTTGGTTAGTTATTCTTGGACTAACAGACACTAAGTATAAAGTACAGTGACTGGGTGGATTTAACATTTTATTCGTCACAAATTATGAAATCATATAATATTTGTCAGTCACATCACAAATTTTATAGGTCAAAAACTTATTTCACGTCCACAAATTATCAAATTAATTAGTCACAAGTTATTTCTCGATCACAAATTATCAAATTTATAGATCACAACTAAATAAATCGTGAGTCACGATTACAAATTTAGTCATAACATAACTTTGTTTAGGTCACAAGTTATTTATTTTATCTGTTATATATAATTTATTGGTCCCAAGTTAACCAATTTATTGATCATAAACACTCTTCATTCCACCCTCCATCCGGTTCCCATGACACCAATCGAACGTCGAGTTACCTCAACACCATCGCTATCACCACCTGCACTGTCACCACCATTTACAAATCACTATAAACACCGGCTAAATAGCAAATCAAAGGAGGAAAACACTACCCCAAAGCACTCCCAAAACCGCACAGATCGCATGTTGAGTGGCGCTATGAGTGCCACTGTGCACGGTGAGCGTCGGTGCCAGTAATGAAGAGAGAAGGGACATATAAGGGAGAAGGGAAAATGATTCACTGTTTGAGAATGAAATCAAGTATAGTTGATGGGTGTAGTGGGCGAGTATATATAATATTATTATTTAATATTTAAAAATTGCATTATCACCTTAATTTTGTACAAGAACTTTTAAACCACATTTTTTAAATTGAAAATTAAAAAACATTAATGGGTACAATTTCCTCTACGAATAATCTTATTTGATTATTTAAAATCAAGTACTTTCAAAAGAATAATACTACTTATAATCAACTACAACAGCAGTCATCTTACGTGATATAATCTTGATTATTAAAATAAAGGACTATAAAAAATATTCCTATTTTGCAATTACTGAAATTATACTATATAAAATGACTACCATAATCGTTGACTATGAATATTCGTACTATTTCCAAAATTATTTTCAACTATACATTCTATGTGACCCACAAGTAAAAGAAATTCACACTGATATACTCGTAAATTACAATAAAAAGTAACTGACTATAATAACCAACAGTAAAACAAATAAAGCAAAAAAGCACCAGTAATTATGTAATTATAAGTGCATAAAACAAGAACCAGTGTTTACTTGAACCCCAAAATTATGCAACTTCCTCTTCTTAAGTTCAACCTGCTGAAGTTGGTAATACACACTAAAATGCATCCACAAAATAGACATTGCAAAAAGATGCTATAAACAGAACCTTGCAGGCAGTTCCTTAAAGAGAAGTTTTTTCAGCTTCTTGATTTTGTTCGTTTTTTACAAGGGGCACTGTTTTCAAAAGCTATAAACAGAACCTGGCAGGCAGTTCTTTAAAGCGAAGTTTTAAACTTCTTGATTTTGTTCCTTTTTACATGGGGCACTATGTTTTCAAAAGCTTTTTGTCGACTCGGCCATTGAGCAAATGCTACAGGAAGCCATCGCCAGATAGAAATATTACTTTATTTTGGGAAGGCCTTGTTGAGCACATATAAGGTCCATATTATTTTCACCTGCATCATCAACCAAGTCAATCACCTCATTGGTTTTAATCTCTTGAAATTTTTTCATTATCTGAACGACGTACCTTGAGGGGAGTTCTTTGGCATCTCTTCAAAATGACAGGCCTCCCATTAAATATCTTTCTTTTCTGAAGTGGATTGCACAGGTTCTCTCGAGGCAGATCTTTCTGGAAGATGTTGCTTTTCTTCAGGAGCTGATGCACGATTATGATTAAGCCTCTCTTCTGTGACAATATTGCTATATCAAATTAATTTTACCTCATTTTTAATTGAAAGAACTAAATTGAGAAAAAATATGGGGAAAAGAATTTACAAATGTAGATATATGATTAAATGATATTCCTCCTTCAATGTAACAATGAAATGCTTTAACAAATAAGTTTTACTTCATATTAAAGCATCTAAAGTTATACAAACCGGGAAAGGGAATTACAGAACGAATGTAGCAAATTGAAGTTCAGGACTGGAACAAGGCATACTTTTGCAGTCCTTGGGAGCATATCCTCGGCAAACAGTGACAATGGTAGAAGATGCATAGAGCAGCACAGATATCATAAATACACCTATAGAGATGAGGATTCCTCGCCTCACGATTTCTCATTTTCTATATCTACATGTATAAAAAATAAGATTCGGTCCGAGTAAAATAACAAGTTAGGCAGGCCCAAAGGGATGAGAGCAGTTTGATAGTTCAAATAAAATTCTTCAGATTAGGATGCAAGAGTTTTAGTCATCTGTAAATCTTACTCTCCACTTTACTACTTTTCTCCATTTAATTCTTCTTCGCGAAAAATAATAAGTTTCTATTCGCTGTTTCAAAATGATACAGGATGCTGAGCAATGCTACATGAAGATCATAACAGTGAATCACCAATGCTTTTGCATGAATCAAAGGTCAAACATTTAGATCCTTCTCTCTCAAACACACACATTAAAAAAAAGAAAAGAAAAGAAAAAAAAAAGATCTTGCTTTTATTATTTAATAATTTATTCATGTTTCTCCCTCTGTTTCGCAGTGTTTCGCCTTGTTCTTGGTACTTGACAGGTGCCAAAGTATTGGAACTGCTCACTCTTAGCAAGAAATTGTCTACTAGAAAAAGTATATTTATTGACTCTTGCCTACACGTGAGATCGCATGTTGAAGATAAGATTTACATGATATACATGTGGCCCTCTTTAACATAGCTTTCATGATCTTCCAAACCATGCTGGAGGAGATTGTTTTAGCCCATATAAAGACTAGGTCTTTCGAACCTGCACACCTTGTTTGACAATGTCACTTTTTCATATCCGAGCGGAATATCCATTTACACTTTTTCCTCTAAGTTCTCATGGAGGAATTCATTTTTCTGTCGAACTGTAATAGAGGCCAGTCAAAGTTTGTTGCCAATGAAAGAAGGATCGAAAGAGTGTTTATCTTGGCAAGTAGAGCAAAGGTTTCACGATGTCAATTCTACAAGTATGTGTATACTCTTCGCTACCTTCCTAGAAATCCATCAGGTTTGTACTTGATAGTGAAAATCCATTTATAACCCACAGTTTCCTTCCCAATTGGCAATTCCACTATTTCTAAGGTTTCGATTTTTCCAAGGCTCTCATCTCCTCATTCATGGCCTCAATACAGGGCTTTTGAGTCAAAAGCCTCCTGGACATATTTAGGAACTTAATGTGTAGGCATTTTGATGGAGATAGAGATAGAATAAAACAAAAGTTAAATAGGATTTTAAAATAGAGTTTAATTCATATTATGATTGTTTAAATTAGAGTAAATTAACTTAGATTTAATAGTTTATTATTTCTTTTAATTTTAGATTAGTTGCTCTCTATATAGAAGGTTTATTCATTGTAATAGGCCTTGAATATATGATAAATTGATTTTCTTCTGTGCCCTCAATTCTTATCTTCTTGAACCACCTTTCTTCTCTTTTTCGTTAACAAATTACTATGCTCCTACGTTACATTTGTGTGACATTAGTCTCAAACTAAGGTGAGACAAAAGGAAACGAGTCCTAACAGGATTTTTATGGCAATAGGTAATTCCAAGACATCATGGGAATCAAATTTCCAAGTGTTAATTACATTACCTGTTTCAGGGTCAATTCTTGGATCATATGAATTCATTTCAAGTTTTCTCCTTCTCGTACAAACCTTTGTGATAGGTGCATTGAGCCTCTTGTGTTTGGTCTCTAAGGCCTCTGTAGAGTTCAATGAATTCTTGTTCAGCTCGTAGAGATTTAGAACTACTTGATGTAAAGCTTAAGCCATCAAAGAAGTCCATATGTATATCCTTTAAATCTCAGCTTCAATATTTTTTTCTTATTTAATTAGTTAAAACCAAACTCATAGGATCTTACACAAACACATGTATAGAATATTTGGAGCTAACTATTAGAATGACCTTTGAGTAACTACCTCCAGACTTAAAAAGTATTTTTGGTTAAAGATCCTAATTTTTACATGAGCATCGAAGAATAGAGATGTGGACATACTTTCTAAAAATAATTATTGTCCTTGATGAAGAATGCCACATTCTTCCCATTCTTTGCCCCTGTTTGGTGGGATTAAAATCAGATTTTTAGTAGATTTTGATAAAAGTTTATGAAATGTGTAGTTGAAAAGTTGTGGGACCTATGAAATACGAGATTAAAATTGATTGTTGACTTTAACTTAGATTAAAATCTGGATTTTAATCGGTACCAAACAGGAGCTTTGTTTGTGTATTTATGAATGAAAATACTACTTTAAAAAGAAAAAAAATAGAGCAGTGTAAGGGTACAAAAGCCACCAGTAATCTTTACCATATATCTCTGAGATTGTCCTTATCCTAGAAAATTTTGCACATGAATCAAAAAATAACCAATATTGTTATCCTTGTAGGTCTATAGTCCAAGCCTTTCGCAATTGGGAAAATAATGACTTCCCTATAAAAGCTAGGACTTCATTAAAAATTACATGAGTATAAGATAGAACTATAATGCCAACATTTTACATTGAAATAAAGATACAACGGAATGACAGCTATAAATCTTTTATTGCTATACAAAAGTCTATGTTCCTTATCCATCAGCCTTCTATTATGACAATGTTAAACAATAGTGTAAAAGTAATTGAGATAAAAGTACGAAAAAGGAATAGAAAATGTGTAAAACTCTTATTGTCTTTTTAATTACAAAGAGGAAGAACCTATATATATGATTACAAATAACCAGAATAGGATGCTTATAGTTACATACCAACAATATTCCCTATGAATATATACCATAACTTGTTATAAAAAGACTTACCATAATATGTTCTATATGAAGAAGAGGAACTAAGGAAAAGGAAGAGTCAAATATTCTAACAGGTAATGTTAACTGAGACACTAAAAGGATCAAATTATGAGTTTCCAACATTAACAGTGTTAACTAGAGCAGAAATTCTAAACATCTTGACACCAATGTTAAACGCCTCATTTGCATCAAATTCGTACTTTTCTATATTTTTTTTCCTTTTAATTCATTTTAACTTGTAGTTATGGTTTCATTAAGAAAAGTATGACGAGCTATGCATGGCATTCATACAAAAAATTAGTTTAAATTATGCAAAAACTATCATCTACCGTACCTAAAATTCCGTTGTCCTCCAACCCACCATCGGGAACACTAGAACTATGTTGAAGGATTGACTTCGAAGAGCATCTCTCGATTTCTAACCCATCCTCGCTATCATCAGAAATATATTCTAGCTCCGGTATCACCATGGGAACATTTTCAAGCAACCGTGATTGTTCCGAAGGTGTTTGAAGCTTCTTTCTCCTATCCAAGTATTCAAAAAGCGTAGAATAAATGAAGGTTAAGGTCACAATCATTTTCTGCCTCCTATTATACTATTCTTAATAATTTAGTAAAATCAGTGAGGACTCGTACCAAATCTCTTCAACTTCTCGGTGAATATCATACAAGAACAAACTAGGTATTATTCACAATAAATACGGAGCCCCCTACATTAATCTTTTTTGGACGCTGTTCAAATTTTCACTATATCCACTGAAAGAACCGGTGAACTCAAATCATTAGCACCTATAGCCTCTTTTATTATGTTTTAATCTAATGAGATAAAATCACTCATGAATGAGATTTTTTAGGTCTATGCAAGATACATCCCAACCACAAAATAGTTGTTTCCTTCAAATTCAAAAGTAGTGCAACCTTTAACTTGGTGTATATTATTATTCCCTACATTACACACTGTCTTATAAAGGTGGATTGCCTTAAAAGGAAGAAAAGAATAAGATAATTGCTTATGAGGAAAAATAGCAATTACAATGACATGATATGTTTTATGGACAGGGTTGCTTACAAAGCCTATAAGGAACCCCCAATAATTTTATTAAATTATTTCAGATTCACAGTAATAGTAATTCAGGAATTAAATGCAAGCTAGTTTCCTGTAATTTAGTTACGTCTTAAAAGGATATTCGCGTCTCCATCCTTTCTCATTTGCTCGATCAATGAGTTTATTAGTTTCCTGTAATTTAGTTACGTCATAAAAGGATATTCGCGTCTCCATCCTTTCTCATTTGCTCGATCAATGAGTTTTTGTAACAAAGCCAGCTCTCTACTAATCCACTGCATTATATAAAAGAAAAGAAAATGTGATTAAAAAGGAAATATTGAATTTTAATTCTACTTTGAACTGTGATATATATTTATTGAGGGAATCACCAAAATAGTAGACGACAAGATTTATGTAATGACTAACACAAAGCTATTTAAGTTTGATATGACACGTGCAAGATAAATATCATATGTAAATAATAAATAAATATGATTTGCCCATAGTGTAGTTATGATATTTACGACACATCAATAGAATGGAAAAACATTTGAGTGGAAATTTATACAAAACTAATTGAGATATAACAATTGTATAGCTCGAAGCATCAAATTCTAAGGATAGACACGACATTCGAGTCATATAATGTTTACAAATCTACTATCTGAGCTTTTAAATTATTTACCAACTCCAGAAAATACTGAATAATAACACAATTAATGTCCAAAACTTTGTGGCAGGAAACCAGAACTGAAAACAATTATTGGAACTTATAAATACGAAGTCAAAATATAAGCATACATGCTTTGTTATATCCTTGTGAAGAATTCTGGCTTTTCGTTCAAACTCCACCTGTAAAACAAAATAAAACAAACAAGAAAAATAAAATAATGACCAGGCATCAAATGAACAAGAAAACTAAAATAATGTGTCAACTAAAGCATAAATAAATATATGCAAGAGAATGGATCAAACAGGAAAATCAAACTCTGTTTATAGCAAATGGACTATACTCTAGACAAGTTGGCGCAAATGCATCTTAGGATATGATTCTGTAATAAAGATGAAGTGTCATTCACAGAAGACAATGTAACTGTGATAATCTCTGTCTAAGAACTATTTTTTTCTGATCTATATAGTGCACGTCTGTTTTTAAGGATATTTTATTTCATATTTCTTACCGAAGCTGCTCCAGAAGTAATTAATAATTAAGGTTTTGCTCAAAAACTCTGCTGGAGAATTTTATTAAATTCAGAATTTTTTGAGTGGAACTTGATCAATTATTTAAAGCTTGAGGGATGTATCCCTCTAGAATAAATAAATATTCCACTGATGAATGCGGAAGCAAGAAAATACTTTTCCACAGATATCAGTATCCATAATCTTGCTGATTTGTGTATCAATTCAATTATCTTATACTCGAAGACGCTAAATTGTTTGTTGTACATTTACATATATAATGTGTGTCCATTTACATTTTCCAAGATAAATGTTAATAGATTTATACTGGAAGACGCTAAATTGTTTGTTGTAGATTTACATATATAATGTGACCATTTACATTTTCCAAGAAATGTTAATAGAACTACTGACTGGAGGTATAGTAGTACTCACCACTGTAGGCCTTGCGAGCTGGCCGTCCATCACTTTTTTTCTCAAATCTTCACATTCTTCCTGGAGGAGGGGAAAAAAACAAGAGGAGGGTTCTGATGTTGATCTTATTAAGGACGGGGAAAATACCGTAAAATATGCTACCAGACATTTTCTTTCACAAAATGTACAACTAACTGGGAAAGAATCTTTTATGATACTAATAAAATAAAATAAAGGGAAGACGACATTGAGATTCATTGGGAAGACTACCATGGTATACATAGAAGCCACTTGATAGAAAGTAAGACAGGAGTAATTCTAATTATTCAGCAAACGGCATTTCCTGTGGGACATAGCATAAGTGGGTGGTTTAGTATTAATTCCCTCCACTCTCACATTCAAGGATTTTCATTATTGAGAGTCGATCTATTTTGATTAGATGGTAATATTTTGGCACCAATTATTGGATTCAAAAGGTTTAATTTCATTTGATTTGAAATTTGATTTGAACAATTTCCTCCATGAAATATTCTCAACTGTTAGGATTCTCATCCAGCTGTAAGGATTCTCATAGTTGACAGAGAGAGAGGGAAAAAGGCAAGCTCTACAGACATATCATTATCAGTAATAATAATGTATGCAACAACAAATAGGACGAAACAAAAACTATAAACCATCTATGGCATGTTTGGCAGGAGCAATTGAATAGCACTCGATAGTATTAAGGGAGAAAATACGCTAAAATCTTATTCGTTGTACTGTCCGGTCCTACCCGCTACTGTGAACCAAACAGGCACTCAGAGAATACCAGATCAACTTGATTACCTCAGAGAAATCATTATCTGACAGCAGTTTCATAGGAATTTCTTTTGGCACAGATGAAACTTGAAGGATGGTATCGGTATTGTTATCACCAACTAAAACTTTTCTTATACCTGAAAGTACATATTAACAGTAGAAAGTATCAAGAAGTCAATTATTTGTGGAACACACAGGCCAAGAACCTAGGCTCCAGTTCAAGGAAATCTGAGCAAAGAGCTATGATTATATTTGATTTTTCACTTGCTTATTAATTTTTCCCAATGAAAAATGACAATAATAAAGCCGATTAATAAATGAATTAATAATTTTTATAGCTTCTTTATAATTGAAAAAAGTAGAGACATACCACAAGCTTCACTCATGCTTAGTCAAAGCTCATTGGTATTAATACTTCAAAACTTTCAGAAGCTCAGGTCAAATTTGTTCCAAAAAGGGAATGTTGATAGTTGATGAAACTAAATAACATTAAAAACTCAGAAACAAAATCATAATCAGATGCTTTATTTCACACTGACTTCTGCCAAACTTGATTTAATACTTTCTTGATCAGTTTTCTTATAATGCATTTCTTGGTAAATTAATACTTTTAGCATGAGTTCATGTCAATGCGTCAACCATTCTTGTATTTTACAATTTTAACAGCAGATTTAATTTCCACGTCTAATCTTCTAAATTGGATGTATTCAATAATATCCACATACACACATCAGGTCATTTATCCAGTCTTGTGACTGAAATAGTTTAAACAAACGAACAAAATAAGCAACTAGTTTTGGAATACTCATCGCTGTGGATTCCATAAAACCAAGTTTCTTGCCTGAAGAGTCCTAATCCCCCTTTTAAATTCTCAGTATTACTTAATAACGCTAACTTGCTGTTTCACTCAAGTATTCAACCTAAAATGGAACCCCTTTCCAACAACGCTATCCGAATCTTAATATCTTTATTCAAAACTCAAACTACAGCTAATTGCAAGATTTTGAATCTCAGTTATCATGGAATAATCATACAGCGCATGAACTGTACAATAATAATGCAAAGTTCATCCGAAGTTTATTCAATATCAGGTTATATAGAATATACTCATCTGACCTTTGACTTGCACGAGCTGATAAGAATTTTTTTGATTGTAATCATTTGGGTCTGATTTGACTCGAACAAAGCTTCCTATCACCTTTTCTTCAAATGATTCTGGTTGCTCAAATAGATCAAATAGCAAGCTTTTCTTCAAGTATACAAGTTTCATATTGTCAGTTATAACGGATGCGAAATAACTTCGGGGGGCACCATATTCTTTCCCATCTTTCTGGGATTTTTTTACTCCATCCTGCTTTTTCTGCCTTTTATGAGCAACCGAGATTTTGGTTTCATTGTCTTCTGAATTATTCTCAAGCTCATCCTCTTCGGTATTATCTTGGTTCTCCATAAAATGGGTGTCCAGAAGATCATATATTCTGTATCTATTTATTGACCTCCTCCTAAAAAGAGATTGCAAACTGGCATTGCATGTTATTCTTCTTTTGTTCTTCAGATCAAAAAGCTTATTTTCTTTGACATAATCATTTATAATTGAAACTACATCATGCTGCGATAGTGCTACAGTAGTATCTTTACCAATTGAACCAAGAAACTCAATAAGAGATCTGGAACCCCAACCCAGAAACTCCATTCTATTGGAATTGGATCTCTCAGTTTTCCTTTTCTTATACTGGTTCTTGCATTTCTTCCCATAATCCATGTCATCACAATCAGAAATCTCTTCTTCATGATCTTCAGCAAATTCTTCTGAATCAGAGTCAGACTTGTAGTTCTTTCTCTTCGTCATCCGATCTTGTGATGAACGAAGATTCTCTGTCTTCAAACCTTCTTTCTCTTTAATGATCTCATAATATTCCATGAACAAACCCTCAAAAGTTTCTCGATCTTTAAAGTCTACCTTGTCCTGAAAACAACAATCATTCAGACGAGAGAACCAACTCCAGATGAAATATGGACAGAAAACTTGAAGAAAGAAAAGAATAAAATGACAGAGGAAGCATAAAACAAGCATACAGGTATCCAACATTTATTCAATGTCATCAACTAATTTGGAAAACATCGATCTAGAATAAGAAAAGAACAAAGAAGTTTTCCCAGAATTTTAACATAGATTTACCATGTACGGCTATCAAATGAAAGTCAGGTTCAAAATATTTCTTGCATAAACATACAAGAGTTAATTATGCGTTAGAAAGTAACGTGGACTAGTAGATAGGACTCAAGCTGCAGTATGATACTGTTAAAGCAATAACCAAATTGGACAAAATCCAATGGAGAAATAAACTAAAGCAAGAAAGAATAACAGGATTTACCGAGGCTCGCAAGAAATTGGTGCATGTCCCGGTAGAGATTCACAGTGGGAGAATCTTGCACTATTTTTTTTGGTTCAACGATGACAACAAAGAATAGCCCTTGCAAATAGATTCAAGATCCTCAAGAATAAATCTCTCAACGGGATATCTCTCTATTCATAATCTACACTCTGTTTCACCTTTCACCTTCTTATGCATGACAACCTTTCTAATATATAAGAGAAAAAGGAACAAGTATGGAAAGTTTAATCCGTGACAGGAGTTCAAGAGAAGCCCTAGAACTGACGATTTGTGAAGGGAGAGAGAGAGAGAGAGTGAGAGAAGTAAGATGGAATTGAAGTGAATGGTTCGCCAGCTGTCCAAAACGTGTGAAGGTCCCAAAAGTGCTGAAGCCCCAAATGCAGAACCTGAAACAACCTATCACTTGATCACTTGACCTGACACTTATTGCTGTTAGTACAGGAGAGTAGTTTATTCCTAGACAGCACATCGTGCACTTATTTCCCAGGCTGATGAGGCGCTTGTGCCAAAGTAAAGGGCATATTGTTGTAACCTGAGTTAATATATTACGACCCCACGTTTAAAAAAGCTTTCTAGACTCACACCGACCCGTTGTGTTTCTTAGGCTCCACCAAGACAGGATAGACAGGGTTAAAACCATCACTTATTACCCGAGTGTCTAAAAAAATAGTTAAAGACCAGAATTTAACTCAATATCACGATTCATAGGGTCATGTGATCGTACCCCGTCAGAATCATAATCCATGTCTTCTTCAATCAGTATCACAAGCTTTAGACAACTGTAGCAGAATCCATCTTTGCCTTTAACTTGTACGAACTCTGAAGCACGCCGACAGTAACGGCACAGTGCACTGGTGCAAGTAAAACAATGATGTTCTGAAGGTCTAATATGGCAGAGAGCGCAAGTATGCCAATCTGAAATGAATAATACAAGTTCACATCCCATTATATCCACATATTCAATAAGAAAACACTTGTCTTCTATCAAATTGAAAATTTCGAGTTGATTGAAAATTAAGTTATTAGATTCTACTACTTGATAAATAGTTCAACTGAGTCGTTTAATAAAATTTTGTTAAAAAAATTCGAAATGGCTATAGTCAATTGTGGTAAAATTTAGCCCCTATTAGGTGATCATTTTTTGAAAAAATATTGTTTTGAATAGTGATTTTTTGGAGAATAAGCACACAAGAAGTATATGAGATGATATTATATTAAATTAAACATGACGATATTGAAAGTAACAAATGATGCAATCAATCATTTTTGAGAGGAAACCACTAGAAATGGATATGTCAATTGTCATGTGTTTGTTTGCATGCATAGAACTTTTCAGTAGTAGCATGTGGCAGGAATGTTGAGGTAAGAACATAAAGGTCAGACTAAGAGATAGACGCAACCTAACACTGTGGATTCCATGAGCAAATAATTTTTGGTTACATATTTGCCAGATAGTTTTTCACGCATTCTCCAAAATTAGGGAGAAGTTTGTTTTTGAACATCATGGAACTCTTAGGGTGAATGACTTAGAGTTTCCCCTTCTCTTGACACCTTGTTCGACTCCTTTTCTTTCTTTTGCTTTTCCATTGTTTCCCCTATGCCTTAAAGCCAAAAAATTTATAGTTAATGAGGGGCTCACAGGGTTATGCAACATGATCCAATATGCATCCATCACCCCAACCTGCTAATAAAAAGAACCACCACTACCATTTCATTTATCTCATGTCCATTCTTTAAGTTGGGCTATCAATAATATGGAAATTCTAGTTGTCAAGTCTGCATATATAAGCAAATCAACGAATGAAAAAGATGAAATGTATCATAACTGCTAGGTTAGTCCCCGGCCTTTATAGGCCATGCGAGAATAGGTAGAATTTGTGTAGACATCCGTATATGGATAGGAGGAGGATAAAAAAAAAGATTCACATCACCAACTGCCACGGGGTTGCGGCCAACTTACCACAATTCCACTGGCTTTCGCTTTCCAAAAACGAATCTTCCTTTCCCACACAAGAAGGATGATATGATTTTAGACATTGCCTGAAAACAGTAAAGGTTAACAGAGAGTATTTTTGGTAGAAGTGCACAATAATCATCATCCTACTTGGGATACATTTACCAGAAAAAGGGGACAAATCAATGGTAATTTGAGTATATTAGCACGAGGAAAATGCAAGAAAACCATCATTTCGCATTAACCCAGCAATTTATGCATGTAGAGGAAGAGATCTAATCCATAGCCATTGTCCCAAACAACCACACTTGCAGAAACAATAGCATATATATAAAAATACAATAACAATTGTATACATGCACACCCTATTAATAAGTACCATTAAGTCCCATTAAATTTGGAGTCTGCTCGATGAATTAGTTTTCGCCAGTGCGATTAATTCATTGCCAAAACTATAGGAAGATCTAAAGTAATTAACACATAACATGTTGTTTTTAGTCTAGATTTCCCTCTTCTGACATGCTACAACGAAATCTTGCCACTTATGAATGAGAACCTCTCCAATCCCAACCACCTAAGTCATCGTTCTCTTAATTTATCTTCAATCACTACCCCCACTCGTTAGCATATATTGTCATTTATTTTCTTATTCATTTTAGTATGACTACACATCTTAGCATCTTCATTTCTTCATTCATCTTATAGGCATTTTGTCCTTTGATAACTCAATACTCAGTACCATAAAACATATGTAGATCTTAACACGCAGAGCAATTGTAGCACCACTCCATTTCATCTAACTTGCTTTAGTCCTATCATTACATCATCTTTAACTCCTCTGCTCAACCTAAAACCTTTAGATTCTAAAATACCCCTCCAAAATTCTAACCTACGATTTTAACCTTTTTTAGTCTCATCGACTAAAACTGTATCAACAGCGATTAACTACAGAAAGGGACCTTATCGTGAATATTTCATGTAAGCCCATCTATAACTAAGGCAAAAAGATGAAAATTTAAGGTCAAACTAGGTGCAAGATTATAGAGATAAGGAAATTACTACATCATCTGACATTCAACCTACTCCATCATATGTCTTAATAATATTGATATTATGTAATAGAATTTTCTTTTTTCTCTAGAACACATCATAGGATATTTCCATATTAATAAAAATCATCAACAAATCTATTTTTCTTTTTTATCAATAGATTTAATAATATTGATATACCTATTAGTACATGTCTTCTAGCAAAATATAATATGATTTCAATGTACATTTGCAATTAACCATTTTTTTTTTATCGAACAATCTCTTCTGTTTATAAAACAGTTTGGAGCTCTAGATCCAAAAATCTACTTCAATTTTTTTCTTTATGCATGCAAACAATGTAGGTAATATTTCATTTTATGCCTTATGCAGTATTAACTTGTGGAATCTAATGCACATTTGATAACATTCTGCTACTCTACTAGACCTTCAGGAAAAACCAAATTGAAATTTTCCTTCAATCCAAATTTCATCATGGTTGAATCTTGTTGGTTAAATGATCAAATTATTTACAGTGAGATTTCATGCAAGCTACATGTTAGAAAATATGATACTTGGAAAATGAAATACAAGATAATAGAAGGTTTGCAGTTTCAAAACCCAAAATAGTTGTTACTGAAAGGATATTTATATTCCATATAAGTTCTACTTAATTCCCAAAAAATTTAGAATTGGGTCATTTAGATTCTAAATTACTACTCCAAAATTATAGCTTCAAAATTTGCTCTTTTTCTAAAGCTGATTCTATTAAATTTGGTCAGACTTTCTGATATGAGTTGCACGGGAAAATGGCTTCAGTGCTGCTCCTCGATCCACAAAAACAAAATGTATGACTGGTACTAACACTTTATCATGGAACAGGTTATGATTCAGTTATAGCTTCGAAAAAGAGTAGATACTGCCACGTGTCCCAATATTGACCACTCCCTCAACATAGGAAGTTATAATAGAGTGAATCCACCATATCTTATTCCACTACGATAGTCAACCAAAACAAAGAGGAAATGCATGAGTAACAATAAAATTATCAAAATAATCCAACTACATACATAAATGTGAGGCTCTTTATTCAAATGGATGCTATAGAGAGACATAAACTCACTTTAAAGACAAAGATCTGAAGGGAAATTTTGCACCAAAAAAATCTCTTTTTCATGAGACCATAAAATACATCTTTTATTACTACAAGTTGAAGTTCTGTCAAATTCTTCCTTCTACGATAAAAGCGAACCGAGTGATAAACAAAACTTAAACTTGCCTTATATACATAGAATGTATATGCATGTGCACATCCAATCATTACGTGGGTATATGCACGTGTATATCACATTTTGGACTTGCCATGTGAGCTAAGTCATGATTGGCCAAAATAAAGATTATTTTTAGGGCCAAACTTAGCATAATTGAACTCATGGCCTCATTCATTCATTAAATAATATTAACATAGGGCAATTTCATGCCAATCCAAATAAAGTTATTAATTGTTTTTCTGTATTATCACTATAAATTTTTCACAGGAAAACCTAGTAATGAAATTCAATAATACAAGTCATCTAAAGCAAATATTTAATTAATGAGATTATTCATGGAAAATAATTCAAGCGGAAGCTCACTAGAGCTCTTATCCATATAAAGCAAGTTGTAAAATTTATATAAGAAGGATCAAGTTCATGACAAAAATGAAAAATAGCTTTATTTATAAATCATGTAAATTGGCCTTCTTTGTTAGAATCCCAAAACAATTCAGTGCTCTTTGTTCCACCAATCATGCAACTTCCACTATCTCCCAAATACATGCCTATTTGACATGGCTTTTGAAAGTCAAAAAGTGATTTTTGAGATGAAGGACCTGCTTTTGACCTATTTTGATTTGAAGATTTTTGAAAAAATTAAAAAATTTAAAATAAATTGAAAGTGCTTTATCTTACAAGAACAGCTAATAGAGGAAGCTGGTCCCAGACGACTTCCGTATGAAGCTCTTCTACAAAATGCACTATCCCAAACAGCCCATAATATCTATGATTTTGTATTCTACAATAGCACAAAGTTCTGATTATAAAGGAAGAATCTAATGCTTAACTGATCAAAGTATTTTCCTATCTTTGGCTTCAGTTCCTTCAATTAATGACTTCATAGCAACCCTTTATTGATCATCTCTTCCGCGGTTTGTTCCAACCCTGACCTCGTCGCTCACCACCACCGCCATCACACAAGCACAAACAACAAATTTCCTAAAATTTGTCGAGTTTCGCATTCCACCAAATACACCAATAAGCAATAATTAGGAAAAATAATATAAATTAATTTGATCTCCTTCACTTTTCTCTTCAACAAATTTCCATCAAAGCCAAGAAAAACTAATCTTGTCGATTTTAATTCATCAAAAGTTGTTTGCAAAGAAAATGAGTTTCAAGAAAGATTAGGGAATGGGAGTAAGAAACGTGCATAGGGGCAGCGAGGGTGCAAGAGGTGGCACTAAGGGGAGGTGGGGCGAAGTGGCAATGGGGCTAGGGACGCAGGGTAGAGGTGGGGGGAAAGAGAAAAAAGGTAAAAATGTTGGAGAAGGGCCATTTCAATAAAAAGTAAATTAGAGAATTAAGCTAGAAAGAAACCTTTGGAAAGAAGATTTTTGAAGTTGTAATCTGGGAGGACCAAGTTGAGACGGAAAATGAAATAAGGCCCAAGTCTCTTTTTTCGTCAAAATCCCAATATATCATCACTTTCTTCTTCTTCTCATCCAGACCTATCCCGTCCCAAGCCTCCCTATTACCGCAACTCCCTCCTCCATCTTCCCTCTACTACTTCCTCCCCCCATCCCGACACACTAAATTTTCTCCCTCCGTGCCCCTTCCCGATTTACATTTAATCAGGACATCCCATAGAGCTTCAATGGTCCTAAGCAGATACTTGGGACAAGGTCCCTAGCAAGAAGGGAAAGGGGAAGGGGAAGGAAGCGGTGAGGGCGTTACTAAAGGCTAACTTGATTAGTGCAAAAGAAGGCTTTTCAAAAATTCTATTTGTAGATTCTTTTTCATTTTTGATCATGAAAAAATGACCGTTTAAAAAAATCAGCCTATAAAGCTCAATCCACCAAGCTTTCGGACAGATAATTTGTCCCCCTCTGTCACCATTTACAGTCAAAGTCAAGAAAGACTAGTTAACTACGGGATACCCAGAAAAGAACCCTATTCGGAAGGACCACAATCATCAGAATCTCTACTAAATTAATAAACTAGAATAAAAATGAAATTCTAATGCATCCAAGAAATAAGCATAGAAAATTATAAAAGACCGAAATGTCGTTCATCCAAATCATATCATCACCCAACAAAAGAAACAAGTGTCTCGAAAATGGGAAAATCTGTCCAAACAGCAAAATGAAGGAAAAGATCCCAGCTCATAGCAGAGAAACTCACTCGTAGTCGCATACACGGACCGTTCCTCCATCTTTGCATGCGAAACACCAGTCTTCAGCTATTTCTTCCTTGTTAATGATCTTTTTGTTAACTTTCTTTTTCATTGCTGAAAATCAAATGCAAGACTACACGAATCTACAACTTTCCAGCGTCTGTAAAGAACCCTGCAAATTTTCCTTTTCTTCAGCAAAATCCTTGATTTTCTTTAAAAATTAAAAGCAGACAAATAAATATACGCATCAACAAAAATAAAAATAAATAAACACTACACGAAATTTGAAAATGGGCGTTGAATTCTCCACAGAAATGATCCTTCACAAAAAACACCAAAAAAAAGAAAAAAAAAAACCACTCTCAAGAATCAATTGAATTACAACGTCAACAATCTTGTTCATGCATGTTTGCGTGTGTGTGCTAGATAGAGAGAGAAAACCTGAACGTGGGTTTAGCAAATCACAATGAGGGAATGCACGCTGTTCTACTGTGGCCGGAATTCTGCTTTTACAGAAGCTTAAAGCCCTGAAAAAAGTTTTTGTTGTGGTTCCCTATGCTAATGCCCTGTTTGGCGCATGAATGTTCGTGAAATCCTGATGATCTGAATTGATTAGTCAAGAAATTAATTATTGTATTGATTAAGGTAATATTAATTATATAGACCAACTAATTAAAGTGTTCTACTTTGATCTTAATTTAAATAATCTGAAATTGTTCATCAAAATTGAATATTGATACCGAAACCCATAGCTTATGACTAAGGCATGTTTATGATGAAATTAGATTTCATGAAAAGTAATTTTTTTATAGAAAATTTACGGTTAAAAAGTAAGGAAAATACATACTAAGAAATTATATAAACACATACTTGAGTCTCATTTTTTAAAATTCATTTTTTAGACTCATTTTTAATCATACATCTTACTAATGAAATAATTTTATATGTGTTAAGATTTGAGATTCAATCTTAAAAGGTCAACCTTACTAAGAGGAGTAGCTCAATCTTTTATAAGTTGATTTATGTTTACATCTTTATTCGATGTGGGATTCTATCCCTTAACATGCCCCCGCCAGATGATGGCTCGTTTCATCAAACCAATCTTTAAATCCGTATGCTCATTTTTGGAATCTTAACCTGATTGAATTGCTCGTTAGAGTTTAATGGGCTCTGATACTATGTTAAGAATTAAGGTTCTATCTTAAAAGGTCAACCTTATTAAGAGGAGTAACCCAAACTCTTATAAATGGTCTATATTTTCACCTTTATTGTACGTAAACTTAAAAGTTTACCTACCTTTTAATCCCACATTAAAAAAAATACGTTTGTTCACATATTCTACTTTCAAAAGGGGCTCAAATAAAGGCATTTTTTCGCCACGTGTGAAAGTTCAATTTACTATAAAAGATGAATATTAGTGATCATGGTGAAGTTAGGACTCAGAGTCAACTGGAACTAGAGATGGCAAAAAAAACCGCCCCGACGGTGCCCCGCCCCGATGTATTGATTAAGGTAATATTAATTACATAGACCAACTAATTAAAGTGTTCTACTTTGATCTTAATTTAAATAATCTGAAATTGTTCATTCAAAATTGAATATTGATACTGAAACCCATAGCTCATGACTAAGGCAAGTTTATTTTGAAATTAGATTTCGTGAAAAGTAATTTTTTTATAGAAAATTTACGGTTAAGAAAATACATACTAAGAAATTATAAAAACACATATGTGTTAAGATTTGAGGTTCCATCTTAAAAGGTCAATCTTACTGAGAGGAGTAGCTCAATCCTTTATAAGTTGATTTATGTTTACATCTTTATTCGATGTGGGATTCTATCCCTTAACATGCCCCCGCCAGATGATGGCTCGTTGCAGCAAACCAATCTTTAAATCCGTATGCTCATTTTTGGAATCTTAACCTGATTGAATTGCTCGTTAGAGTTTAATGGGCTCTGATACCATGTTAAGAATTGAGGTTCCATCTTAAAATGTCAACCTTATTAATAGGAGTAACCCAAACTCTTATAAATGGTCTATATTTTCACCTTTATTGTACGTAAACTTAAAAATTTACCTACCTTTTAATCCCACATTAAAAAAAATACGTTTTTTCACATATTCTATTTTCAAAAGGGGCTCAAATAAAGGCATTCTTTCGCCACGTGTGAAAGTTCAATTTACTATAAAAGATGAATATTAGTGACCATGGTGAAGTTAGGACTCAGAGTCAATTGGAACAAAATTTAGCTACATAAAATAAATAAATAAAAATTGAATGCAAAATATAATGATATTAAGAATTTTATAATTTTTTGCCATTGTTATTTATGAATTTTACTTTGAAAACACGATAACCTCGAGTGACTAGAAATTCGTAATGATATTAATAATCTTCTATATTTTTATCGTTAGAGTTCTTAATCTAAAATTCGTTAGAAGTTTGTTAAACATGTTGATTAGTTATTCCGTATTAATTATAATTTGTTTAGAAACGTGTTAAATGGATTGAAAAGATTATTCATAATCACTCTATAATTTGTTTAACAAACTAATAAGCTACCTTTATTTTTAAAAATACTGTGTCCATAAGGTACGATTAAATCCATAAACATTGACTTAAATATGTCAAGAATGCGAGACATTTCAAAAACTCGTAGTTGTCTTAAATAAGTTGACTTAACTAAAGGCAATTTATGGTAACTGAACACATATGTCGACAGAGGCAAGGAGAGTTAAAAAAAAAAAAACATTAACAAGTTATTCATTTTTGAAGAGGATATATCGTGTATATGCTGAGATGTGTAGTGAAAGTGAGAGACAACATTATCAACAGTATATTATGTCCTAACAATGCTCTATGAAGTAATTAAGTTGATTATAATTGTTTTTAGCTTATATAAGTTAATTATACATATTTAGCTTATATAAGTCAATTATAATTAAAATTCAACTTATATAAGTCAATAATAATAGCTTTTTTTAGCTTATTTAAGTCAATTAGTGCTTTTTTTAGCTTATGTAAATCAATCATACATCATTTAACTAGTCTAAATCAATTTTAATGTTTTTAATGTTGACCTAGAGTTAAATCTTATATTTTGATTATAACAAACAAACTTTGTTTATCTCTAATTCGAATCTTCAAAATGTTACATGTTGCCGACTTAATCAAATTGGAGACAAAACTATTAGACGGAAAGTTGTCGATCAAGAAAAGCTCAAGATAGATAACTCAAGATGAAAATCGATCGAGCACTCATGAAGACAAACTTTGCGTCATTTCAAAATCAAGCAACAAATCGAGCACTTGTGCCAATAAATCAAAGACATTGTAACTAGATGTTTTTAGCTCATTTGTAAAGGTAAAACACGTTAAGTCTTAGCAATGGCACATTGAAAGCTCATGTGACGAATTTCTTATGCACGATAAAAATTCATTTCATTAAAACGTTTGCACAAAAATTATTTTTCAAAGGTAAAATTTTCAATCTAATCTTGAAAATTATCAAACCTCACTTATCTTGAAATATCTAGTAAAAATGTCATGCAAAAATCTACTAGTTACAAACAAGACGGAATTTGGCCTAGAAATATTTCTAGCGATCCGGACGTCCGGTTCGCTAGCAACGGTCAAATTTTCGACCGTTCTTACTGATTTTTAACGGCTACTTTTTGGGTCGTCCGGTACTATTCCGGACGTCCGGATGGGTCATCCGTTTAGATAGAAAATGCCTAGGAAATTCTCTAGCCATCCGGACGTACGGTTCTCCAGCAACGGTCGAATTTAGAAAATTCGACCATTCTGACAAGTTTCAAACGGCTATTTTTCTAGGGTCGTCCGTTTCTGAACCGGACGTCCTAATGGGTTGTCCGGTTTAGCAGAAAAATTGACTTTTTCAACTACTATAAATACTAACCCACCTACCATTTATAAAATAACGTTTGAGCATTCAATTGATATTCATTTGAACTAACATTGTATTGATTTCTCATATCATTGATTATCAAATCATTTTGCTATTAATTTTTTTTTTATCAAATCAATTCTTGAAAATCATTCAACACAACAAAGTTTTTCTAAACCTAATACTTGACTTCCATTCATTGTTATCTATTAAAGTGTTAGCCTTTTTCTCTCTTAGTACTTAATTGTGATCATATCATTTATTAAGAGAAAAGTTCTCAACTTGTAAACTCAATTCTCTTTAAGCTCTGGGTCGTGTTGAGGTCCCAGAAAGCTCAACGTTGTAAAAGGATCAGTGCTCCTTGCTTGTAAGTTACCTGAAGTTTTGTGTAAATAGTTGGATTGCACCACAAGTCAATCAACATAGTGAAATTGGTCTTGCTCGTGTCGGAGAGCTTGGTAATGGAGGACGTAAATCATTGCATTGGATCGAACCTCCATAATTATATCATTTGCACTCTCTATCCCCCTTTACTTATTGTCTTCATATTCATGTTTGTTATTTAAATTACTATATCTAGTTACTACGTGGTTGATTCTAAGTTAATTTGTCGAAAAAATTTTAATAACAAATTCACCACCATCTTAATTAGTTAGTCTTGGGCTATCAATTTTGAGTAAAGACTAACCAAATGTTTCAAAATAATGAGGGGCATTCCACAAATCGACATCCCTTCTTCGATAGCACACACTATAATTATTGGAAGACTAGAATGATGACTCACATTCAATCTATTGATTACAATATTTGGGAAGTAATTGAGTATGATCCTTATAAGCCTACCAAGACCATTAAAATAGATGGTCAACCTGATCAAACTATCACCAAACCTAGAGAAGAGTATGATGAAGATGACGAAAGATAATTATCCTTAAATGCCAATGCTAAGAATTTACTCTATTATGCATTAGATAAAAATGAATTTAATCACATTAGCACTAGTGAATCCGCATATGACATTTAGCATGCATTAAAAGTTACTCATGTCGGCACTAGTAAATTAAAAGAAACAAAAATTAATATGTGAGTCAAGGAATTTGAAAATTTCTTTATGAGACAAGATGAATCTATTGTTGATATGATTGCTCATTTTACCGATATTGTAAATGGTCTAAAAGGAGTCGATCGCAAATTTACTAACAGTGAACTTGTGAGCAAAATGCTTAGATCGCTTGGAGGAATGGAGCTCCTTAAGGATGTTGATAGAGAACTCCAAGGATGCAAACACATATTCTTTGGAAGAACTCTATGGACCTTAATGACCTACGAGCTTAACAACGCCGAAATCAAGGAAAATACAAGAAAGAGCAAAGAAGAATCAAAGGAGGTTCCTAAACGTCAAATTGCTTTAATTGATGAAGGAACAACAAGCAACAACATGAGTGATGAAGAGCTCGATGATTTAGTTCTTCTTGCCAAGAAATGGAGAGGGTTTTGAAATAATCGAAAATTTCAAAAGAAGAGAAGCTGAGAATGAAGAAAGAAACAAGAAAATCATTTGCTATGATTGTGACAAACCCGACCACAAAAGAATCGAGTGTCCAAATAAAAAGAAAATTTTCAAGAAAAAGGCATTTCAAGCAACATGGGATGAAAACGACGATGATAATCACGATGAAAATGAAAGTTAAGAAGAGATCGCCAACATGTGCTTCATGGCAATCAATAATGAGGTACCAAGGAAGACAATGAGCACAAGGTTCCTAGATAGCGGATGTTTAAAGCACATGATCGGAGATAAAACCTTGCTATCAAACTTCAAAAAGAAGGATGAAGGTCATGTCACCTTTGGGGACAATGCTAAAGGAAAAATCATTGAAATTGTAAATATTGGTAACCATCTCTCACCTTCCATTGAAAATGTTTTATTGGTAGATAACCTCAAATATAATTTACTTAGCATTAGTCAATTATGTAACAAAATGTATCATATTAAATTCGATTCTTCCAAATGTCTCATTGAGGATGCTACATCTAAAGAGGTATTGTTTGTAGGATGCCGAAACAAAAATGTTCATATCATAAATATCGATTTTAAAAATAATGAAAAATGTTTAGTGAGTCTAAATGAGGATATTTAGCTATAGCATAGGAGATTTTGCCATGTTAGCATGGAACTCCTGTAAAAAATCTCCAAAAATTGCTTTGTCAAAGGTTTACCAAATCTAAAATTTGAAAATGACAAAATTTGCGAGGTATGTCAATTTAGTAAACAAGTAAAAATTTGCGAAAAATGTCAATTTAGTAAACATGTCAAAATTTGACCTTGGAAAGATCTTTGTACAAGAGATCTTTGATGGGGCGAGGTGAGACAGGTGAGGTATTGCAGCGTTGTAGAAACGGAGTGCGGGCCTTTGCATCTACGGTATACTTGCGGATGAGTCCAGTTCCTTCGCTGAAGCGTGTTCGACTCGTCTCGTATGTGACCACTTTGGTATATGTAGTCAGCTCGTCCCATGCATAATCGCCTCGGGAGGGCCCATATCGTATAGAAAGAGAAGTTCGGCCTGACACCTACTAGATAAGAGACATGGATGGCAGAGTTCAACCTCATCCGTGGAATATTGAGCATCTAAGGATGCACTATCAATGAATATAATCTGTAGCTGGATGTTACTTCCCAACCTTTATGAATAAACAAGTTTTTCTCCGGTCTTCGCCAACAATCAAAAAAGCGTGAGCGCTTCGAAAGAGATGATGGAACCTTAAAAGAAGGTCATCTCGTTCGAACTCCAAAGCGTACATCACAAGCTTCCCTTTGATGAAGCTGAACGTCAAGGAAGAAGCCTTTGCTTGGATGAACCATCCACCAAGCAAGGAAGCGTGGGAGCTTCGGAGGAGAGGATGGAACCTTAAAAGAAGGTCACCTCGTTCGAACTCCAAAGCGTACATCACAAGCCTCCCTTTGACGAGGTTGAACGTCAAGGGAGAAGCCTTTGCTTGGATGAACCATCCACCAAGCAAGGAAGTGTGGGCGCTTCGGCCACCCATAGCGTTTTGCTGACACATAAGGTGATAGATAAAAAATTGTATAGATAAAAAATTGTAAGAGATAAATGAAAATAGGATAAATTTATCATCAGCAAGAAATCACTTTTCATATCCTTCTGGTTTAAACCAAAATTCGATAGTTCTTCCCTATGTTTCTAGCACAAGCAACCAGCAGAAGATAATAAGCACGTCAGTCTCTAGATTTTATCGCATTTGACCAAAGAAACCTACCCATCAACAAGTTTCACTGTCCACTTACTGTTGCCTCTATTTCTCTCCTCTCTTTCTTGCAACTCATTTGTGTATTCTTCGTCCACATTCTGTGCAAAATATTGCTATAAAATTGGACCCAATCACCCTTTGAGAAATTCTTCTCGGGATGTAGTAGCACAACTCTACCTTCGTTTATAATATTATACCAAAAGAAAGAGGACAGATTTTCCAGGACCACAAACTTCCAAATTTTAGTGACTGGTTTGATGATAGGCTAATAGCTATAGATAAATGACCATATCAATATAAATTTTTCTAGATATACATATTCCAGAAGAAGAAATATAATGCATAGTGAATTGAATATTACAATAGATTACACATAACACGATGAAAAGAAATATCTACCTTCTCTATGTTTTCTTCATTCAGCTCAAGGCCAGTTTCTTCATCTGGTATTGACTCAACAGCAACAACTTCAGATATCTTTTCCATCAGAAGCCGCTCAATCCCCAATATCATCGTGGTTACAGAACTTGGGCAGGAGCCACATGCTGCTTGTAGCTTCAACTTTACAACATTTCCATCAATTTCATGTAATGCAACGTTACCACCGTCTGCAATGAGATATGGCCGAATTTCATCCAATACAGCATTTTCTGCAGTGAGCGGCAATGCCACAGCTGAATCCGGTGTAGCAACTGCCTTCAAAACTGCAAAATAGCAGATGAATAAAATCATTTCCACCAGTAACTTAATTGAACACACAATTTGACTCATCATTTTAAGATATTAGTTCACTTGAAGAGAACTATAATTCTTACTAAGTTCAGGATGTCGTGTCTAATTACTGAGATAACTAAGCATTAAACAATTGAATCTGAATACTGAATCATCAGAAACCGTTGTTTAGTTAAAAGTTTGATGTTCTAAAAGAAATTAATATGTCGATGATACTTAAAATTTAAAAGCATTACTGCTGAAACATATTATGATGCAATGAGTTCATCATATGTAAGTTCAATTCATTTTTACTTAGTTCAGAGAGGGTGACATCAATTATTCTATCTTATGAACACTATTTCCTTCCATAAGAACTCAATTTGTGTACAATTATACAATTCATTTTCCTAATAAGATATAAATATGGAATCACAAAACAACAAATTGATTTTGAACGCTGGAAATCAACGCGTAAACAAATCAATTTTGGTCAGTTCCAATAAACAGTAAGGAAATCGAAAATCATCCCCATCGAGCTTTTCGACTATTTTATTTATGAAGAAATTGTGATTAATCACTCCTCAATTTTTAAGAAATCATTCAGTTAGGAGAGAGAAACCTAAAAATTTCAACTAGGCTAGCATACTGAGTAAAAAGCTCATAAGATTTGATTAGCAGTAGTCTAATAATTTTTGACAATGGATTAATAAATAACCACAAACAGTTCAAGTAATCCAAACCTAACATGACCTCGCCACAAGATAAAAGCTCACTTGTCTATCTATTACAGTTAGGAAATTGAATCCCCTGGTAACGTATGGATACCCTACGCACCTGATTGTCGAACCTGAATACCGAAATTGGATTCCCCGAGAAACTCGAAATCTAAAAAATCAAATTGATTATCATTAATCTCATAATTACAAAATCTTCGGCTCTTGAACAGCTAAAGTCACACACAAAAACACGAATCAAGCAAATATATATAAATAGGAAACAGACCTTGCGAGGAGGAGTAGGTAATAAAGCCGTTGAAAAGGAAGGTAATAAAGCCGTTGAAGAGGAAGGAGAGCAGGAGGGTTCTAGGGTTTGGAGGAGTCTAGAACTGTATATATGAGAATAAGAACAAAATGGAGGATTAATCGCCATAGTAGTTAATGGCATCCTCTATCGATAATCCGGCAATTGCTCGAGAACTTCAATTTCTCTATACAATTCGTGTTCTAGGAGTTCTAATTTGATTTTTCCTTTTGTGGGTTGAATTGAATTTCTTGGTTGCGCTTCTCTAAAAAAGGACCTTGCACAGGAAAAATTCCTGTCCCTGCCAGGCAACGCACACAATAGGGGGGGTGTGTGAGTGGGGAAGTTTTGGCAATTTTTTAATTACATGGGGCCACCCCCATGTGAGAGAAACTTTGAAATCTATTGATTGTATTACTTTCTATTTTTCGTTTTCCCCCCTTAATGTTTATTTCTATTTTTTATGAAAATTTAAATTGTACTCTTATAATTTTTTTTTTCTTTTTTCATTCATTTTTTTTGAAAATGTCTATTTTTAATTAAATCATAAAATTTTATATAGACTTATAATTAAATTTAAATATATAATTCTTTTCTTTAAAGATATATTATACTAATAATACTGAATATTAAATTTATTTTTTGTGTATAATAATAATTATTTATTTAATTAAGATCTTAAATTTTTATTCTTTTAAAATATTTTTTTATTATATGGGAGAAAAAGGAAGGAGAATGGGAATTGAAAGAATAACGACCTCGTATGTGATAATTTCACAATATTGTACTAGTCCATATAAATTCTGTAACGACCCGACCTTGCGCCGGAATCGTCATCATATCGTATGTACTTTCCGCTTTATGAGAGTTTAGGTCCATCTTACCCCTCACGGTTTTCTGACGCGTCCTCCAAGATTCGAACTCAAGACCTCCATCATATGAGAGACTTAAGTTGAATCATGCTACCAAACGAAATCGTCATCATATCGTACGTACTGTCTGTTTTGGGAGAGCCTAAACCCATCTTACCCCTCACGGCTTTCTGACTCGTCCCCCATGATTCAAACTCAGGACCTCCATCATATGTGAGACTTAAGTTGAATCTTGCTACCAATTCCAAAGTCGGAATCGTCATCATATCGTACGTACTATCCGCTTTGGGAGAGTCTAGACCCATCTTACCCCTCACGACTTTCTGACGCGTCCCCCAAGATTCGAACCCTATACCTCCATCATATGGGAGACTTAAGTTGAATCCTGATACCTCGGGTCCCACTTAACGGGTTGTCCCGACCGTTAGATCGATGACATACTGTCCCCACTGTACCAACATGGATTTTTTCAGCATGTTTTGTCCTCACTCACACGCTCCCTGAGAAAACTTCCTAGGTGGTCACCCATCATAGAATTGTTTCAAGCCAAGCCAAGCACGCTTAATTGTGGAATATCTAACGATGGACTTCCGGAAAAGAAGATGCACCTTGTTGGTATGAGTAGTACATATCAAATCTTTTTAACTTTCCTGGTCTAGGTATTAATTGGTACCAAGATTCAACTTAAGTCTCCCATATGATGGAGATCTTGGGTTCGAATTCTGGGGGACGCATCAGAAAATCGTGAGGGGTAAGATGGGCATAGGCTCTCTCAAAGCGGACGGTACGTACGACATGATAATGGTTCCGGCGCGAGGTCGGGTCGTTATAAACAAAAAACGTGCGTTTATTTTAACAACCCAACCTCGCGCTGGAGCCGTTATCATGTCGTATGTACCGTCCGCTTTGGGAGATCCTATGCCCATCTTACCCCTCACGACTTTCGACATGTCCCCCAGGATTCGAGCCCAAGAGCGGAGAGTACGTACAATATGATGATGGCTCCGGCGCGAGGTCGGGTCGTTACACACCTGTTCCGTAATCAATCATAAACCCAATACCAACTAGACAAAATCATCATCCATGCATGTGTTTTCCAACTAAATCATACAAAACACTACCATTTGGACAAAATTAACATCTGAGTCATATATCCTCAAACCACATAAAATTGAAAAATATACAAATAAACCAATTATGGTTCGAAATGCATGGCAAAACTTCCTCCAACATTCAATCATATCATCAGATATAAGTTTCACAACTAATCAGGACGACAAAAGTTCTATAAACTTGATATTGTATCTTTTGCAATCTCCCGTTCTAAGATATTTGAAATAATAAATATAACTTATGTAGTATCAAAGTAATGAACATATAAAAAATGTTAGATATATATTATTTATGCATTGTTTTGTTGTGGAACATCCACATGTTGACGCCAATCAAACTACTTATGTGGATAATTTTCCCCAAACAACCAATTGAAAACCATATCTCATCTTATTTTTTGGTTACAATCATTCTAGTTACAAGCTGGTGGACTAGTTGTGCTGAAAAGGGTATACGTTCCATTCGATGTAGTTGTGCAAAACAAGATTTCATGAACATTTCTCGGTGAACATCATCTAACATCGCTCGAACGTAGTCAAGTTTTTGTGGGGACCACTTTTGCGAAAGTCTATTTTTACTTTTATCTTCAACGGGAATCACATACTGAAATGAGTGTTTCATTTATACAATAAAAATCATAAAACGATAATGTTAATTTCATCAATGAACAAATATGAAGAATTTACAGTAATGTTAAGTGATATTTGGTACAATTCATTTTAAAAAACAAATAAATGGCATGGTGTCATTTTCAGAATTACATAAATGACATGGTGCCATTTTCAGGACTAGATAAACATGAGGGTGCCACTGAGAAGTCAAATAAGAATTGACAGAGACGGTACACTTGCTCAAGAAATAAAAGAATGTCAACAACTTCAACTGGACAAAACCTGAAAGTAAAGTAATTATACATTGTCGGCTCTAGAAGAAACGCTCCAAACAACTTCTTACTTAGGCATTCACCCATTGTGTGATGCTTGCAACCAAATATAACTGCTCCTAGTTCATGACTTCTTTGATTCGTAGCACGTACACTAAAATTGCCCAATGAAGAAGAAGATTCAGATTTTTCCTTCATGTTCATCTTAGTATTTCTCTCCCCCCCCCCTCCCTCCCGCCCTCCCCATCTGCAATTACAGGAGAAATATCATCATTAAACTAATACTAAATGCAACAGCTAAAGCTACAAAGAAAACAAAGCAACAATGGGCACCATCAATGACATCCTTGTGCAGATCAATCACCTTTAAGCATAAATGGTAGAAATAAAATTTTCACTACGTTTGAATATCAAGGTCGATATAAAAGTTCATCCAATAGTAATGAATAATATTCTTTCGTGAGTAAACTGCTCTAGACTTCACTATAAATGAAAGTAAGTAACCCAAATTCCATTATATATCAATTAAGAGATAAGATACCTAACAAACTAACTCGTTTAACATGTGCAACTCTTGTAAAATGTTTCAAGACATGATCAATTAATTTTGGAGTGAAGTCGAGACTCTATAATCGAAAATGGCATGTTGTCATTTTAAACGGCTGGTACTGCAACTTTTTTTTTGTTTGTCATTTTATGTTCACTCATAGCCATATGAAAATATGTTACACCTCATCCAATTATAGTCAAAATCAAAGTCCAAGTCAAAGTCAAATAAGAATTAAATTGGAAAAAATAATTTTCACGGGGTCTAATTGGTAATTAATAATATTTGGAGGGTTAAAAATAATATATAAAGAAATTTAGGGAGTTACTTTACATTATTAGAAATGAAAGGATTAAATATATTTGGTATGAAAATTTGGGGACTTGACTTGGCAATTTGACCATAGTTATCCAATTACCTTTTTTATCTTTTCATTTGTGCCTGCCTGTGGAGAGAAAGAGAGAAACTGTTCCAAAGAAGAAAGAAAAGAGAGAAAGGAAAGAGAGAGAAAAAAAGGAAAAAGAAAAGAAGAAAAGAAAAGGGAAGGGAAAATGCTACCATCTCCAAATTCTTTATCAATTCTTGAAGGTAGGCCTAAATTTTATTTATTTCATAATGATTTTAGATTTTAGGGTTTTTAGAAATTTTCTCTAAATTCGAAATTGAGTCAAGAATGAGAAGTTATTGATGGTTATTTGAGGTTTTAAGTAGGAGTATAAAAAAAAAGTGTTTAATTGAAAATCTTAGTTTAGGAAAGTAGAGATTTAGAAACGGGTTTGTCAAATACATACATGTTCTTTGATTTTCCTTTGAGTATATGATGCTACATATTTAAATTAAGGATTTGAGATGGGAATTTTCCACTTTTTAGCAACTTTGGACAAAATCATATGCAAATGCTATTTTTGAAATTAGTTTCAGGAAGTGCTATTTTTGTCAATAGTTTGCAGTAATTTTCAGCATATTAAAACATGTGACAGATTTCTAAAATTTGGAATTTTAGTGCTGTTTTTGTCAAAACTTGGTTTTTCTCAAATTTTTCAAGTTTAATGAAACTAAATGATAAATATAAAATTTTAAGTATTGAATTAGAGTATATATATATGGGGGTTGTACATGTGGTGAATAATGAATATGATGTATTGGGTAATTGGTGGGTAAATTGGTAAAGAGAAGTGAAATTGTTATCATATTGTTATTGTTAAGGTTGTGAAATGAGTTTTGATCCGAATAAATTTATGATTATAGCAGGAGGTAGCGCA